GGACCGGTTATGGCCGGTTATGAGAATGGTGAGGACCGATTGGGACCGGCCCGGGACCGGTTTTTGGCCATCTCTAGTAGATGTTGTTAACGTTCTTTGTTTTATTTGCTCACTTTGTTGATTCCAAACAAGAATTGCAGCACTCCCCACCGCCACGGATAGCTTCTTCCACCCCACCTCCACCTTGCTCCCGACAGCCTCAAGGAAGGGTACCTTACTTTCTGGATCAGGCTAACAACACAAGATCATCACACAACATAAGAAACACCACCGTGCCCAGTCCCCACCGCCACCAAGGAATCTAAACAAGGGAAAGAAAATCGGATTGCTCTTTGGTGATGTGGCTGGGATCCTACATGTTTTTGTGGTAACTTATTCGGTAATTAGTAGAAGGAAATTGATGAAAGACATTTTAACACTTTTGGTTGCCTTACTAACAGCATAAGGTGCATTACTAAACTCTCATTATTGGATTAACCATACACTTCTTTTTGGTAGGGGTTCAATGAAGCATTTTATGAAACAATTCTGGTGTTCCAAATCATACCATAGACAACTATATCCATCTATTACTCTAAGAAAAAGATTGGTGGGGCCACCGATTTCAGGATGATATCGACTAAGGCCTAGTATAGACAGATCATAATAATAATGAATAATAAAATTATTATATTTATCGTAATAATTTATTTAAAAATATAATTTACAAAGTTAATGGTTGGTTTTTCTATGATTTGTCCAACTCATCAATTGGAATTGGATGGATCATGGAGGACGACCGAGGTAGGACTAATGGGCTCACCTCGAAATAGAAGTTGGGCCCTCTTAGCTCATCAAGAATAATAAATGGGTTAAATCTTAAATGCACCTAATTTAGGTCCAACTTTTATATGATAAATTGTATTTTGTTGGTATAACAATAATATAGCAATTTATTTTATTTTTCATCTATTTTAAGACAAAGTGACCTTCTATGTGTTTGAGGTGGCATTGGTTGACCAACTTAACAACCAATTTAGATAAAAATGTAAAACCACAAAGGAACTTTCTTCTTTAAATTAATTTTGGACTGTAACCTATTTATAAGGTTGTTTCCACATTCTATTGGAGAATGGGTTTCATGTTTTTCCTCTTATTATTGTCTATAAATACACATTCATAGAATGAACTCTAAATTTGTTTAGAAAATCATGGAGTTTCAAGCAAGAAAACGGAATTCAAATGTGGGATCGAGTTTGAGACTTTGATAGAAAAAATGTCAGTAAAACTTGACTATGTACATGAAAGTATTAAAGAAAGGATTAAGGACAATCCTGATCGCCTTAAACGAAACCCGCCTCCTAGGAACTACATGTGAGGAGATATTTAAGAGCTGAATTAACAAAAGGATTTAAACTTGTCTCCAACAGGATTCGAACTTGACCTTATTGTATATTTGAACAAATTCGTTCCACCCTTTAACTAAAATTATAGGGTTACAATTAGTACCAATGGTCAAAGTTACTTGTGGGTTTTGACATAAAGTAAGAAATTTGGGGAGAAGATAAAATGGGGACCATTTGGGTTTGCTTAGCCAATCAGAATGCACCTTACCCAGAAGGGAAGTCGGAATGGCCAACCATTAAATGAAGAGAAGAATCGTTTCTCTTAATTAGCTGTCTGACGGTGTCGTTTTATGCATTTTCTAACTCCATCACCATGTGCTCTCTGGGACCACATCATCTCCCTGAACCTACGTTAGGATTAGGATGACCCACACCTTATGGTATATTCGCCTATTTCTAATGTTACGTTTTACCTCCCCTACAGTTTATGAAGTTTACACAACTCTACCATACTTACTAAATTGGAGTGAGTGAGTAATGACTTGGGATCATGTGACATCATGTTGTTTTGTATGACCAATGAGACCACATATATAACATTGAACTTGCACAGTGTTTTTGCTATTTTTTGTATATTCATAATATTTTGTTGTGAAGTTTCAGTATTATTTTGTGGTCTCACTAGTCTCACGAATATAATCCGACCTCACGTCAACCCAATACGGTGTATGCTAGCTACAATTTTGGCCATATACACATACACACACACCTACAGGAACAAAACTGTATTGTTATTCACCCATTCATTATCTTCTTCCAACTACACTTAATATTCCTTACCTCATTTCTTTGATGGCAAAACACCCCCTTAAACTATGCCAAATTATCCAATTTTCATATTACTTTAAGCTTATGATGAATATGTTGAAGTGTATATTGGTCATTTTGCACTTGAGGGGTATTTTGGTCATTGATTGAAAAGCCTAAAGAGTGTTTTGCATCAACCCCATAAACAAAACCAATGAGGTGGGTCGTGGGTGCAAAATACGCAAACATGTTCTCTACTCCGGATTAATAGAGCGGTTGTTTCTATGAAGATCCGACTTGCAAAAAAGAAGTTCGCCCAAAAAGTTTGAACAGTTTGATAAAAAAAATGAAGGAAGATTTAAGGCCAGAGACAAAATTTGAAAAGAAGACTAAGGGGCTGTTTGGCAGTTGCTGAATGATTTAGTGCAGAATAGTTAAGAGGTCAGAATGGTTAAAAGGGTCAGAATGGTTAAGTGCTGAATGAAATAATGTTGTTTGGTAACTGTTCTCTGAATGACAATAAATTACCATTTTAACCCTCATCTAATAAAAACACATTATTTGAATTCGATTCAACAAAAACACGTATTTCATATTAATCCAAATAAACATAACGATACTAGTTCAAAACAAGATTTTTCATAATCCAAACCAACATGATTGAGGGGATTAAAGGGAAAGGCATTCTGTTTTGTGAACACTGGTTGAGCGAGAAACCGTTTTGGGAGTCCCATGCCTCTCGAAAGCCTGTGGAGATTGTAATCATTCAACAAATTCAAGTAATCCAACGGATTGACCATTAGTGTATATCAAATGGTATATGTGCAGTTCGATTTAGGGAGAATGACGACTTGATTCGAAGAGCTGTGAAGATTTGGAATGCGTGCAGGCGATATTAGTGAAAATTTAGGGACACTTGAGGTCGCCGGCGATGGAGACGATGGAGGTCACCGGCGAAAACCGGCCGACCTGGGGAAGGGGACGAAGGCGACGGGTTCAAGAGATTATCGTTTCTGACATCGGGAACGTGCAGCGGCGATGAGCGGCGGGCGACGAGAGCGGGCAACGAGCGGGGACGACGAG